CCGTTGGGCTTTTTGGATGTGCACATAGGTGGTATCCGCGCGCATGCACGGGCACAATTCATTAATAGGTTATTATCGAATTAAAATTATAACATAATTTCAATGGCCATGATTTGTAATGCTTTTGATTTGGTTTGTTAGTGGTTTAAAAACTTTATTGCAAGAACATGATGTGATTCGAGAAATTGTGTTATTTTTCTATTCTTTTTTAACATTATATATCTTTTTTTAATGCATTTTTTTAATAAGTTTATTTTGCTTATATAACTATTTTTAGTTTTAATTAGAGAAGTAAGATTTTCTTACGGTTGATAACAATTTTATAGTATTTAAATTTTTGAATGTATATCAGTCTGCAGCAAAATTACATTCTTCTACCGTTAAAGTATATTAGTATTAATCAGTATTCATGAACAAGAAATACTAATACCTTTCAAAGAAATGTTAGTCTTTTAGTACTACGAAAAAGTGATAGTTTTCGAACAAAGAAGTTCTTAAAAGCCTAAAAGGTGTTAGTCAATGTTTGCCGGATAAATCTTACTCCCTCCGTTTCTTAATATAAGATGTTTTGGCTTGAACTACGAAGTTTAAGAAATTTTTTTTTTTTATATAGAATTATTTAATATATAAAATAGAAACAATTCAACCAATTACTATATATTATATTATGAAACAAACATAATTGATCTTGAAGAAAGTGTAGTCGTTGAATCTGAAGAACGGTGTTGTTTGGCATAAAGAAAGAATGGTGATAATGGTGACGAATGCAAATATGTTGGTGAAAAATATTATTTTGTAGGTTTTGAAGTAGACAAGGAAACCTAGGTAGACGAGAAAGTGAAGAATACAAAAAAACCAAAATGAAGATGGAGATGAAAAAAGAAAGAGGCGATAAGATGAAGAAGATGAGGAAAAGAAGATGAAGATTATTAATCAAACAAATAATATGGAGATGAGGATGAATTCGAAGAAGAAATCAATCCAAGCAACATAAAAATTATTYTCTTTTAATTTTACGTGCATTTGTGAGAGTTAAKGYCACMATATTAGAGTTAATACCCCCATAATTTGTTTCAAATATAAATTATTTTCAATATTTTACATGTATTTGTTAGGGTTTTARRCTCACAWATTAGGGTTTAGTATCTATTTATTTGCTAAAATAAAATAAAATTATAGAGGAAAGTTGCATTTCTAAATGAAAAAAATATAGCATGGTTTTCAAATTTATTTTTCCCATGCAAGGCAATTAACGTTTACGATAAGATTTTGAAAAAGGCTAAGTTCAATATGAAACAAATCAAATGTCTCAAAACACGTCATTTGGAATGGAAATAACTTGGATTCGATAAAATAGTCCAATTCTAAAAATTATCCGACATGCTTTTTATTGTGTTGATAACGAATAAGAAACATTACCATAGAGAATATAATTATATGTCTATTATCATCTCGATAACTTTTATATATATATATATATATATTTTTTTTTCTTAATGTTCAATATTTATTTCATAAATAATCTTAAATATCGATTAATATGGTTTGTTCAATTATAATTTATTGAATGTTAGATATATAATATATCAAATTATGTGTTCACCATTCAAAATAAATAATTAGTTTTGTGTTGAATGTAAAATCCCAATTTACAATTTTTAAATTTTTAGCATCTAAGATATTATTGTCCCGCGCAACGCGCGGGTATCTGCCTAGTGTTATTTATGTGTTTTGTTTTTGGTTGCATTTACGTTGAATTAAAATAATATATTTATATCCGAAGTGAAAGATTTTTATTTTATTTTTACTTTGGGTACACCCGATACTCTATGGTGAACACAATCATCACAATTTAATCCGAAATTTGTCCCAAGCAGTAAACATTTAACCACTTTGTGTTTCTTATAAATTAATACTCCTTATATTAATTTCCTTAGAAAAAATG